GAGGAGGAGAGTTCTCCTCTGGCCTTCTGCGAGCCTACTGTCGTGCACGAGGCATCCGCCAGACCTTCACGCTTCCGGACTCTCCGCAGCAAAATGGGATTGCTGAGCGCCGCATTGGCATGGTCATGGACGTCGCCCGTACGTCCATGATGCATGCGGCTGCCCCCCATTTTCTGTGGCCGTTTGCGGTTCGGTACGCGGCGCATCAGATCAACCTTCAGCCCAGGGTCTCCATGCCGGAGACCTCCCCAGCCTTGCTGTGGACGGGGAAGGTTGGCGATGCGTCTGCGTTCCGTGTCTGGGGATCTCGGGCGTTTGTCCGCGACTTGTCTGCGGACAAGTTGTCCCCTCGTGCTGCTCCTTGCGTCTTCCTGGGTTTCCCCCCTGACGCCCCAGGGTGGCAGTTCTACCACCCCACCTCTCGCCGTGTTCTGTCCTCCCAGGACGTCACGTTCGACGAGTCGGTCCCCTACTACCGCCTCTTCCCCTACCGCACTCCGTCCCTCCCCCCGCCACCGCTCTTCCTGGTACCAGGTCCCCCCCTGGTAGACCCCCTCCCCCCTCAGGGTCCTGCCCCTTCAGGTGTGTCCCAGGTAGACGCTGTTGAGCCTGTCGAGGTCGCTGGTGACTCTGGTGCTGCTGAGGGTGCTGAGCCTGGGAGTGCTGACTCTGGGGGTGCTGAGCGTGTGGGTGCTACGCCTGGGGGTGCTGAGCCTGAGGGTACTACGACTGGGGTGCTGAGCCCGGGGGTGCTGAGTCTAGGGGTGCTACGCCTGGGGGTGCTGCGTCTGGGGGTGCTGAGCCTGGGGGTGCTACGCCTGGAGGTGCTGAGCCTGGGGGTGCGGAGCCTGAGGGAGCTGGGCCTACTGGTGCTGTGCCTGGCGGTTCTCCGGGTGCTTCTTCTCGCCGGGAGCCACTCTCTCCACAGGAGCTGCGTGAGTGGTTTGCCCGGCGCTGGAGGCGAGCTGCTGGAGCTGGAGGAGCTGCGGGTACTGGAGTTTCTGTTGCTGCTGAGGGAGCTGGTGCCACGGGTCCCGGAGGTGCTCGTACTGGGCGTACTGGAGCTGCTGGACCTGCGGGTACTTCTGGAGCTGGAGCTGCTGCGGGTGTTGGCGCGGAGGCTACTGCTGTCGGTCCTGGAGGCGGTCCTGCTGGGGGTACTGCTGGTGCTGCTGGGGGTACTGGAGCTGGAGCTGCTACTGGTGCTGGTGCTGCCACAGGGGGTGCTGGTGCTGTCCCTGCTGTGTCTGGAGTCGCCGCGCGGCCTCGGCCGTACTTCGTTCCGCTCCTTCAGCAGGTTCTTGGTCTCCCGTCTTCTACTGGTCCTCCTCCTCCCTTAGAGTGTCCACAGCCTGTCCCGTCGCAGTTACAGTTACAGCCGGCCTCCCCACTGCCTGCTCCGTCTCCCTACACTGGTCCTACTGGAGGTCTTGCTGAGCGTCGTGAGCCTGCGTCTCGCCCTGTGTCGCCTGTCCGTGCTGCTCGCACTAGTGGTCGCGGTTCGCGTCAGCGTCCTCCTCCTGTCCCTGGCACGCACCGGATGTCTCTGCGTCCGTCCACTGCTCCTCTGCGTGCCCCTTTGCCTTCTCCTCCTGAGTCTTCTCTTCCTGCTCTTGCCGACCCGGAGTCGGACTCTCTTCGTGCTGCCAGTCCTACTGTCACGCGTCTCCTTGCTACTGTTGTCACTGACCCTTCCTTTGAGTCCACTGCTGCGTCTGCCCTAGTTGCTGAGCTCGTCGACTTTGCTGCTCGCTGTCGCCTAGACTACGTCGCCAGTCTTGTTGCTGAGTCTGAGTCTGTCTGTCCTCCGTCCGTCGGGGGTGAGTGTGCCCTTGGCACGGACGTCCTTGAGGACAGGCAGGAGGAGTTCCAGTGCTTGGCCGCTGCTTCACCTCATCTCGTGTCCGTACTGCTTACCCCTGAGGGAGACCCGGATGCACTTGACATCCCGACTCCGCGCTCTTACGCGGAGGCGATAGAGGGTCCCTACTCCTCTCAGTGGCAGGCAGCTATGGACGCAGAGATGGCTTCCTGGAAGTCCACAGGCACCTACGTTGACGCTGTTCCCCCTCCTGGGGCGAACATCGTCAGTGGCATGTGGATTTTCAGGGTGAAGCGGCCGCCGGGTTCTCCGCCTGTCTTCAAGGCGCGTTACGTGGCTCGAGGCTTCAGTCAGCGGCAGGGAGTTGACTACTTTCAGACCTTCTCTCCCACCCCGAAGATGACCACTCTTCGGGTACTGCTGCACGTAGCTGCTCACCGTGACTACGAGCTACACTCTCTTGACTTCAGCACTGCTTTCTTGCAGGGCAGCCTGCACGAGGAGATCTGGCTGCGTCGCCCACCTGGTTTCACTGGGTCTTTTCCTCCTGGCACCCAGTGGAGCCTACGGCGGCCAGTCTACGGTCTCCGCCAGGCTCCGCGTGAGTGGCACGACACACTGAGGACTACACTTGCGGCTCTTGGGTTTGCTCCCTCTACTGCCGACCCGTCGCTGTTTCTGCGCACCGACACTTCTTTGCCGCCGTTCTACATCCTCGTGTACGTCGACGACTTGGTCTTTGCCACAGCTGACACTGCTGGACTCGCCCACGTGAAGTCCGAGCTGCAGAAGAGACACACGTGCACAGACCTGGGTGAACTGCGCAGCTACCTTGGCTTGCAGATCACTCGGGACAGAGCACGCCGCACCATTACCCTGACTCAGTCACACATGGTGCAGCAGGTCCTTCAGCGCTTCGGCTTCACGTACTCCTCGCCTCAGGCCACTCCTCTGCCTACTCGCCACTCGCTCTCAGCTCTGCCTTCGGATGAGTCCGTAGAGTCGAGTGGCCCGTACCCAGAGCTTGTTGGCTGCCTCATGTACCTGATGACCTGCACACGACCTGACCTTGCATACCCTCTTAGCATTCTCGCACGCTATGTTGCTCCTGGGAGACACAGACCGGAGCACATGGCAGCAGCGAAGAGGGTGTTGCGCTACTTGTGCAGTACGTCGGGCATGGGGCTTGTGCTTGGAGGGCAGAGTCCAGTGGTCCTTACTGGGCACGCAGACGCTTCTTGGGCTGACGACCAGGCTACGCAGCGGTCGTCACAGGGTTACACCTTCAGCCTTGGTTCCGGCTCTGTTTCGTGGCGGGCTACTCGCTCGTCTTCTGTTCTCGGCTCCAGTTGTGAGGCTGAGATCTACGCAGGAGCCATGGCTGCACAGGAGCTTCGCTGGCTCACCTACCTGCTGACTGACCTCGGAGAGCTGCCTCGTTCTCCTCCAGTGCTGTACGTAGACAACAAGGCCATGCTGGCCTTGTGTCGGGAGCAGCGACTGGAGCACAGAACGAAGCACATTGCTCTCCGCTACTTTCTTGCTCGTGAGCTGCAGCAGCGTGGTCAGCTGCGTCTTGCGTACGTGGCCTCTGAGGCCAACACTGCTGATATCTTCACCAAGGCGCTTGCGCCTTGTGACCATCAGCGCTTCTGTACTCAGCTGGGCCTTGTGCCTACCTTGCCTCACTTGCTCACCTCTTGACCTTGCTTGTGCTGTTACATATATATATACCTGCTCTTGCTTGTCTAGCCTTTATATATATATGTACTCCTGCATGTGAACTGGCCTTGTGGCCTTGAACTTGTGCTCGGAATGTGTGGTGACTTTGTGATCCACCCTGAGCTTGCTTTGCTTTGCTTTACTTGACTGGTCTTGTGACCCCTTGTTCTCCCCCACTTTGCCTATGGGGGTGTGTCAGAACATTATAGCTCATGCATATTGTGTAGGCTATAGTGGGGTAGCCCATAAGGGGTACAACCCAATTAGGGTTATTACTTGTACTCAATTCATTCATAGTTCATTCATTCCTTGTTTCTTCTCACGCACCGCGTTACCGTTTGCATGTTTCGCGTATAAATGTTCGCTCATGCCTTCGCTCACATTTTGTACTCGTTTGACACCTTAGTGCAATTCTCGCTACTTCGATTCATTGCACCCGTAACACTTGGTATTCAGAGCCTCTTTCCTTTCGGACCGCGCATCTCCGCACCCCAGGAAATCAACTTTTGATTTTTCACTCGAAGGGACTCACGTACCTTAGCACCTAGGAGCCGCTGTCCTCGCGTTCTCTCGTAAACGCGTGCAGCCACGACTGCGCCTAGACTAAGACGAGCCGACGCCCTTCGAAATGGCTGAACATATCGACGTCACGACTCTCACGCAGGAGCACTTGAACGATCTGCTGCGACAAATCCGCGAGAGCGCCGAGGAAATCGCGACGCTGACGGCAGAACGCTCGTCCCTGCAAAACGACCTCACACGGGCACAATCCCAAGCACCTGGCACTCCGATTCAGCCCGCACCACAGACATCACAGCACGGAAGTGTGGGGCAACCCGCGAGCGCCGCAAGTGATGGCGTCGTCCGCCATGACGGAGACGACGACCACGGCACGACACACCCCGACGCGACGAATGCGGCCAGGACTCAGCCTCGAGTCACGATTTCGGTGCCGGCCGGCGAATCAACTCTTCCGTCGCCAATGCCGCTAAAGCCGCAGCGCCCGCCATGCTTTGACCCAAGTCAGCGGGGTGGTCCTACCGTTCAGGCGTGGCTCTTCACGCGTGGCTCTTCACGTTGAACGTCTTCTTCGACGCGAACGACGCGGATTGGTAGCCACTTTTCCTTGCTTCTTTCCTTTTATGTCAGGTGTGACGTGGCCTCTTTCAAACAAGAAAGGACACGACGCGCAGCGTAGTTCAGTAGCGCATCACGGCGGTATCGTCCCCCCCGTGAAAGAGTGTTGAAAGGAGATTATTGAATCCACACCACAGACCCAGGTATCCACAGATCCCCATCACTTGTTATCCTGGTTCTGCCCGGCTATTTCGGGCGTCTCGAACCTCAGCCACAGATTCCGCGTCCCGCGTTCCGCGTTCGCGCTTGACGTTCCGCATCTCCCGTTTCAAAACCTAGAAAGTTCCGGTTTTCGGATTCCGGGGGTCTGCCAGCCACGATGCAGCACCTACGATCACGCGGCGCCTGTTTCGCCGATATTCTCGCTGCGCGGTAAGCCTTTCTCCATGTGCCTATTCCGGGTCCTACTCGCGCAAACCGCAGCGCTCCCGGTGGAGCTATTTATGAGTCGACTCACAAATCAAACCGCAGCGCTCCGAGTGAACCTGGCTGGAAGATCTACACTACTTTTTCCTCATTAGTGTAAAGCATATATTATGTTCTTTTTTTTTCTCTCTACTTTTTCTAAAGAAATATCTGTTCTGCATTACTCGTCAAGTGCTCTTCTTTTTTCCCCACCCACACCCTACGGCCCGTTTTACTCCCTCCCTTCTGTTTGCCCAGCCTCTCTACTCTGGTCTCCAGCACTTTCCCCGCAGCTTCCTACCATGCATCTGTCCACGTGTTCCCATGCATGGCTGAGGAACGCCAGAGCCAAAGGGCAGGCTCGGCAGCTGCAGCTGGTTCGGCAGCAGGCTCGGCAGCAACACCAGGTTCGGCACCAGCAGCAGGAGCAGGAACGGCAGTGTCAGCAGCGGGAGCGGCTGCAGGATCAACAGCAGCAGCAGAGGCAGTCAGACAGAATCTGAACAGGCAAGGATGTAATGTGCTTGGATGGTTTGTGCGGGCAAAATACAGTCAGGCGAGAAAGGCACGCAATGGCTTCTTCTAAGGAATTTATGAGGCGTATTTTTAGCCGTCTCAAAAGGCATATCCTCCTATACTTGCACGCAACCTGCCATCCATGGTTGCACGATAGCAAGAGGGCTCGCTTTGTGATTGCTCTCTTTCTCTCTCTTCTGCTCTCCCCCTTTCTGCGCTTCCCATTTCTGGATGCTGGATGGTGGGTGGGCTTTTGTACCAGTCAGGTCAGCATGAGCCTTTTCTGACCCTCATGCCTCTCCCACTCCTCGCAGGCTGCGCTACCGCAGCAGGCAGAGGGGGTTCTTAGAACTGGACCTGCTGCTGGGCAAGTGGGTGGAGCAGCACCTGCCGTCCCTGGACCCGCCTCACTTGACAGCACTTGCCCGCCTCATGGACGAGGTGAGTATGACCTCTCTCTGCTGTTGGACGAGATTAATTGAGGAGCAGGCAGAGGGGCTTCCTGGAGCTGCATCTGCTGCTGATCAAGTGGGTGGAGCAGCACCTGCCCTCTCTGGACTCTCCTCACTTGTCTGCTCTTGCGCGCCTCATGGACGAGGTACGCGAGGGCTCTTGGCTGTGGCGCGGTAAGTAGGAAACAGGCAGAGGGGCTTCTTAGAACTGGAGGATGCCTGCTGCTGGGCAAGTGGGCGGAGCAGCACCTCCCTTCCCTCTTGCCCAGCAGTGCAAGAGCAAGAGGACCCGCCTCAACTCACTGCTCTTGACCGCTCTGCTCTTGCACGCCTCATGGACGAGGTGAGAAGGGCTTCGGGCTTCTTGAAGGTGAGACTATCTGATTCTCTTTATGGAGATCTGCTATGTTGGTGCGACTTTTGAGAATTCTCAAAAGTCGCACCAATATTGAAGGTGAGACTATCTGATTCTCTTTATTGAGATCTGCTGTTGGGCATGTGGGTGGGTGGAGGAGCACCTCCCTTCCCTCGACTCCCCACACTTGACCGCTCTGCTCTTGCACACCTCATGGACGAGGCAAGGGTTTTTCCACTTCTTGAAGCTGCTCCGAGTGGGCCGAGTGGGCCGAGTGGTGTTTTGCCGATTCTTAAGATGAGACCTGCTGCTGGGCAAGTGGGTGGAGGGGCGTTTCTCTTCGCTCCACGTCAATCAACTGTTGAAAGAAGTGTTTTGAGACGTTGAAAGAAGTGTTTTGAGACGTCTCAACACACTTCTTTCTGCAAGTGGGTGGAGGGGCGTCTCCTTTCGCTCGACGCCAGTCAACTCACTGCTCTTGCACGCCTCTTGCACGAGGTGAGAGACGTGTTTTGAGTCGACTCAAAACTCGACTCAAAACTCGATTCAAAACTCAACTCACTGCTCTTGCACGCCTCATGGACGAGGTGAGAGAAGGCGTTTGGGAGCACAACAGAGGGAGTTTTATCTGTTTCGCACGGGTGGGCATGAAAGGACGTTCGAGGAGGTCTGATTGATTGTCCCTCACAAACCTGAATGGTACCACTCTCGACTCTCATACCTCTCTGTGCTACAACGGGCCCGGTGCTCTGTCTGACCCTACCTGTCCGACCCTACCAGTCTGACCCTACCTGACCGAACCTACCTGTCCGACCCTACCAGTCTGACCCTACCACCCTACCTGTCCGACGCTACCTGTCCGACCCTACCTGGTACGTCAGTATCTGGTTCACGGGACAGGAGCAAGCCCCTCTGGTGCATGCATACCCTCCAACGCTTCCCCTCCCCCTTCCCCCTCCCCCCACCTTCACGTGCACGTCCAGGAGAGTCCGGATCTCTTCAAGTGGTTCACAGGACAGGAGCAAGCACCAGAGCACGTGGTTCACAATCCTGTGAGCAAGCACCAGAGCACGTGGTTCACAATCCTGTGAGCAAGCACCAGAGCACGTGGTTCACAATCCTGTGAGCAAGCACCAGAGCACGTGGTTCACAATCCTGTGAGCAAGCACCAGAGCACGTGGTTCACAATCCTGTGAGCAAGCACCAGAGCACGTGGTTCACAATCCTGTGAGCAAGCACCAGAGCACGTGGTTCACAATCCTGTGAGCAAGCACCAGAGCACGTGGTTCACAATCCTGTGAGCAAGCACCAGAGCACGTGGTTCACAATCCTGTGAGCAAGCACCAGAGCACGTGGTTCACAATCCTGTGAGCAAGCACCAGAGCACGTGGTTCACAATCCTGTGAGCAAGCACCAGAGCACGTGGTTCACAATCCTGTGAGCAAGCACCAGAGCACGTGGTTCACAATCCTGTGAGCAAGCACCAGAGCACGTGGTTCACAATCCTGTGAGCAAGCACCAGAGCACGTGGTTCACAATCCTGTGAGCAAGCACCAGAGCACGTGGTTCACAATCCTGTGAGCAAGCACCAGAGCACGTGGTTCACAATCCTGTGAGCAAGCACCAGAGCATGTGGTTCACAATCCTGTGAGCAAGCACCAGAGCACGTGGTTCACAATCCTGTGAGCAAGCACCAGAGCACGTGGTTCACAATCCTGTGAGCAAGCACCAGAGCACGTGGTTCACAATCCTGTGAGCAAGCACCAGAGCACGTGGTTCACAATCCTGTGAGCAAGCACCAGAGCACGTGGTTCACAATCCTGTGAGCAAGCACCAGAGCACGTGGTTCACAATCCTGTGAGCAAGCACCAGAGCACGTGGTTCACAATCCTGTGAGCAAGCACCAGAGCACGTGGTTCACAATCCTGTGAGCAAGCACCAGAGCACGTGGTTCACAATCCTGTGAGCAAGCACCAGAGCACGTGGTTCACAATCCTGTGAGCAAGCACCAGAGCACGTGGTTCACAATCCTGTGAGCAAGCACCAGAGCACGTGGTTCACAATCCTGTGAGCAAGCACCAGAGCACGTGGTTCACAATCCTGTGAGCAAGCACCAGAGCACGTGGTTCACAATCCTGTGAGCAAGCACCAGAGCACGTGGTTCACAATCCTGTGAGCAAGCACCAGAGCACGTGGTTCACAATCCTGTGAGCAAGCACCAGAGCACGTGGTTCACAATCCTGTGAGCAAGCACCAGAGCACGTGGTTCACAATCCTGTGAGCAAGCACCAGAGCACGTGGTTCACAATCCTGTGAGCAAGCACCAGAGCACGTGGTTCACAATCCTGTGAGCAAGCACCAGAGCACGTGGTTCACAATCCTGTGAGCAAGCACCAGAGCACGTGGTTCACAATCCTGTGAGCAAGCACCAGAGCACGTGGTTCACAATCCTGTGAGCAAGCACCAGAGCATGTGGTTCACAATCCTGTGAGCAAGCACCAGAGCACGTGGTTCACAATCCTGTGAGCAAGCACCAGAGCACGTGGTTCACAATCCTGTGAGCAAGCACCAGAGCACGTGGTTCACAATCCTGTGAGCAAGCACCAGAGCACGTGGTTCACAATCCTGTGAGCAAGCACCAGAGCACGTGGTTCACAATCCTGTGAGCAAGCACCAGAGCACGTGGTTCACAATCCTGTGAGCAAGCACCAGAGCACGTGGTTCACAATCCTGTGAGCAAGCACCAGAGCACGTGGTTCACAATCCTGTGAGCAAGCACCAGAGCACGTGGTTCACAATCCTGTGAGCAAGCACCAGAGCACGTGGTTCACAATCCTGTGAGCAAGCACCAGAGCACGTGGTTCACAATCCTGTGAGCAAGCACCAGAGCACGTGGTTCACAATCCTGTGAGCAAGCACCAGAGCACGTGGTTCACAATCCTGTGAGCAAGCACCAGAGCACGTGGTTCACAATCCTGTGAGCAAGCACCAGAGCACGTGGTTCACAATCCTGTGAGCAAGCACCAGAGCACGTGGTTCACAATCCTGTGAGCAAGCACCAGAGCACGTGGTTCACAATCCTGTGAGCAAGCACCAGAGCACGTGGTTCACAATCCTGTGAGCAAGCACCAGAGCACGTGGTTCACAATCCTGTGAGCAAGCACCAGAGCACGTGGTTCACAATCCTGTGAGCAAGCACCAGAGCATGTGGTTCACAATCCTGTGAGCAAGCACCAGAGCACGTGGTTCACAATCCTGTGAGCAAGCACCAGAGCACGTGGTTCACAATCCTGTGAGCAAGCACCAGAGCACGTGGTTCACAATCCTGTGAGCAAGCACCAGAGCACGTGGTTCACAATCCTGTGAGCAAGCACCAGAGCACGTGGTTCACAATCCTGTGAGCAAGCACCAGAGCACGTGGTTCACAATCCTGTGAGCAAGCACCAGAGCACGTGGTTCACAATCCTGTGAGCAAGCACCAGAGCACGTGGTTCACAATCCTGTGAGCAAGCACCAGAGCACGTGGTTCACAATCCTGTGAGCAAGCACCAGAGCACGTGGTTCACAATCCTGTGAGCAAGCACCAGAGCACGTGGTTCACAATCCTGTGAGCAAGCACCAGAGCACGTGGTTCACAATCCTGTGAGCAAGCACCAGAGCACGTGGTTCACAATCCTGTGAGCAAGCACCAGAGCACGTGGTTCACAATCCTGTGAGCAAGCACCAGAGCACGTGGTTCACAATCCTGTGAGCAAGCACCAGAGCACGTGGTTCACAATCCTGTGAGCAAGCACCAGAGCACGTGGTTCACAATCCTGTGAGCAAGCACCAGAGCACGTGGTTCACAATCCTGTGAGCAAGCACCAGAGCACGTGGTTCACAATCCTGTGAGCAAGCACCAGAGCACGTGGTTCACAACCCTGTGAGCAAGCACCAGAGCACGTGGTTCACAATCCTGTGAGCAAGCACCAGAGCACGTGGTTCACAATCCTGTGAGCAAGCACCAGAGCACGTGGTTCACAATCCTGTGAGCAAGCACCAGAGCACGTGGTTCACAATCCTGTGAGCAAGCACCAGAGCACGTGGTTCACAATCCTGTGAGCAAGCACCAGAGCACGTGGTTCACAATCCTGTGAGCAAGCACCAGAGCACGTGGTTCACAATCCTGTGAGCAAGCACCAGAGCACGTGGTTCACAATCCTGTGAGCAAGCACCAGAGCACGTGGTTCACAATCCTGTGAGCAAGCACCAGAGCACGTGGTTCACAATCCTGTGAGCAAGCACCAGAGCACGTGGTTCACAATCCTGTGAGCAAGCACCAGAGCACGTGGTTCACAATCCTGTGAGCAAGCACCAGAGCACGTGGTTCACAATCCTGTGAGCAAGCACCAGAGCACGTGGTTCACAATCCTGTGAGCAAGCACCAGAGCACGTGGTTCACAATCCTGTGAGCAAGCACCAGAGCACGTGGTTCACAATCCTGTGAGCAAGCACCAGAGCACGTGGTTCACAATCCTGTGAGCAAGCACCAGAGCACGTGGTTCACAATCCTGTGAGCAAGCACCAGAGCACGTGGTTCACAATCCTGTGAGCAAGCACCAGAGCACGTGGTTCACAATCCTGTGAGCAAGCACCAGAGCACGTGGTTCACAATCCTGTGAGCAAGCACCAGAGCACGTGGTTCACAATCCTGTGAGCAAGCACCAGAGCACGTGGTTCACAATCCTGTGAGCAAGCACCAGAGCACGTGGTTCACAATCCTGTGAGCAAGCACCAGAGCACGTGGTTCACAATCCTGTGAGCAAGCACCAGAGCACGTGGTTCACAATCCTGTGAGCAAGCACCAGAGCACGTGGTTCACAATCCTGTGAGCAAGCACCAGAGCACGTGGTTCACAATCCTGTGAGCAAGCACCAGAGCACGTGGTTCACAATCCTGTGAGCAAGCACCAGAGCACGTGGTTCACAATCCTGTGAGCAAGCACCAGAGCACGTGGTTCACAATCCTGTGAGCAAGCACCAGAGCACGTGGTTCACAATCCTGTGAGCAAGCACCAGAGCACGTGGTTCACAATCCTGTGAGCAAGCACCAGAGCACGTGGTTCACAATCCTGTGAGCAAGCACCAGAGCACGTGGTTCACAATCCTGTGAGCAAGCACCAGAGCACGTGGTTCACAATCCTGTGAGCAAGCACCAGAGCACGTGGTTCACAATCCTGTGAGCAAGCACCAGAGCACGTGGTTCACAATCCTGTGAGCAAGCACCAGAGCACGTGGTTCACAATCCTGTGAGCAAGCACCAGAGCACGTGGTTCACAATCCTGTGAGCAAGCACCAGAGCACGTGGTTCACAATCCTGTGAGCAAGCACCAGAGCACGTGGTTCACAATCCTGTGAGCAAGCACCAGAGCACGTGGTTCACAATCCTGTGAGCAAGCACCAGAGCACGTGGTTCACAATCCTGTGAGCAAGCACCAGAGCACGTGGTTCACAATCCTGTGAGCAAGCACCAGAGCACGTGGTTCACAATCCTGTGAGCAAGCACCAGAGCACGTGGTTCACAATCCTGTGAGCAAGCACCAGAGCACGTGGTTCACAATCCTGTGAGCAAGCACCAGAGCACGTGGTTCACAATCCTGTGAGCAAGCACCAGAGCACGTGGTTCACAATCCTGTGAGCAAGCACCAGAGCACGTGGTTCACAATCCTGTGAGCAAGCACCAGAGCACGTGGTTCACAATCCTGTGAGCAAGCACCAGAGCACGTGGTTCACAATCCTGTGAGCAAGCACCAGAGCACGTGGTTCACAATCCTGTGAGTGCTTGAAAGGCATTTCCTGTAGCACATGGACTAGAATTTTGAGAGTGTTTCAGTTACAAGTCCTGGATTATGTGGTTTAGAATTCTGTGTGCCGGGTTTAGAACCTTTTCACAAGTGGTGTACCAGTCAGCAGCAAGTTTCACAGCCTGTTGCTCACAACCTAGGAGTCTTTTTTTCGAATGCCTTGAAAACAAGCCCTGCACTGCACCACGTGGTTCAGAACCCGGTGTGTAGAAAGTTATTATTAATTTTTATGGGGCAAGCCCCCTGGAGCAGGTACAAGCAACATGAGCAAGCTGGCAACACGTGCCTGAGAATGAGCAAGCTGGCAACACGTGCCTGAGAATGAGCAAGCTGGCAACACGTGCCTGAGAATTTGAGAGTGGTTCTGCATCGCTTCGCACCCCCTTATGAGAGAATTCTGAAAATCCTGGATTTCCCCTCCCTCGCTTACCTTGCCGCTTACCCCTCCGTGTTTCCACACATCCCCTTCTTGATTCAAGTCCGTTTTCTACCCCCCTCCCTTCCGCTTCCCCATATCTCTCCTCCCACGTGTACACTTCCATGCGCAGCAAGGTAGGGGAGAGGCTGCACCGCATGCACCCTGCAGTGAACTCCCCATCTCCCTCCTCTTCTTTCTCCCTCTCCCTCCAACCTCCTCAGGTGTATGTCTCCATTCGCAGCAAGGTAGACGAGAGGCTGCATCGTATGCACCCAGCAGTGAAGGCCGAGCCTGGCCTGCCGTGGGTGAGGGGGTGGGAGGACATGCAGAGGCAACCGGGCACACCCCCTGCTGGCAACCAGTAGAGGCCTTTGCAAAACGCAGCTCAGGGGTTGTTTCGTGCACCCAGCTGTTAGGGGGGCAATAACGCCTTATCTGCCGTGGGTGAGGGGTTGGGAGGACATTCAGGGAAAACCAGGCACACCCCCCTGCCGGCAATCAGTAGCTGTGCAATAATCAGCTGAGGGGTGGGTTCATGCATCCTTTAGTGAAGGGCATATCAAACTTAGCACAAGTTGTACATTGTTGAAATGTGCTTACAAATTTGAAATTGTAAAAATACCATTTCTGTTCTTCTGAAAAGTCCGTAACATGCTACTCTGGACCATTTCGTTTGAAGTGTTTACTGGCTACATCACATGATTTGTAAAGTAACATTCAACATATATGCACGTGAACGCAGCGACAGCACAGCACACCTGCTCGGCTCAGCAGCAAGCAGTTCAGCTAACTCGGTAGATGCGGCAGAAGAGAGTAGATAGAGTGGCTCATACAACACCTTTGGTCGCTTATGAGAATTCCTTAGAAATCGTTCAGATAACTTACGGTAATATGTACAGTACCGTACGTAGATGCAGTAGGAGAGCGGGAAGAGTAGAGTGTGGCTCGAGGAAGATGTTTGCAAGTGGTGGGTAGGAGAGGTTGGCTAAAGAGGACTGTTCTTCCGAACACAACAATCAGCTGCCTCGAGGTGACTTTTGAGTTGACTCAAAAGCGGGAAGAGTAGAGTGACTCAAGGAAGATGTTGGCAAGTGGTGGGAGGTGGGCTAGTAGGGCTGTTCTTCCTAACACAGCACATGGTTCAGCTGCCTCGGTAGGTGGAGTAGGAGAAGGGGGAGAGGAGCAGCGGCACGTGGAAGTGCTCCCTCTCTTGCTCTGGCAGCACCCGGAATACTATCGACACATGAGGGAAGAACCCACCACCATTGCCACTGCAACCACCACTGCCACTGCCACTCCCTGTGCCAGCAGCTTGTGAGTCCCCACGCTCTCTTGCTCCACGCATTCGACCAAGATACTCCCCTGTTGCAAAGCTCAGCCGGTAAACTCCAGCTACCACCCCCCCACCTCCCACCGATCCACCTCCTACCCCACCGCTTCCCACCGCTCCTCCCCCATCTCCATCCCTGGCAAGCAGCCCAGCAGCCCTGCCATCAGCATTTGTCACTCCCTCGCCCACTCGCTCCCATCCCAACCCCACACCACCACTCTCACTCTCCCCTCGGGCTTCTATCTGTCGCTCCAGCAGCACTTTGATGCCGGCAGCGGGTCTGCCCAGAGCCACGTCGAGAACATGTGTGGAGATGGACGGATGCTTGGCGCTTGTACTGGGTGTGACTGTAGCAGGCGTGACTGTAGCGGGTGGTATTGTAGCGGGTACAGCGGTGGCTGGAGCACCTGGGGTGAGCATGGGGAAGCAGGAAAAAGGGGGGAATCAGGAAGAGTAGATAACTCAGGGCTGGCTCAGGGATGAGTGAAGGATGGCTCAAGGGGGTCGCCCCTGCACCGCTGTGATGCCGACAGGGGGTCTGCCCAGAGCCGACTTTTGAGGCGCCTCAGAAGGCTTTTGAGGCGCCTCAAAAGGATGGCTCTCAAGGGGGTCGCTCCTGCACCACTGTGATGCCGGCAGCGGGTCTGCCCAGAGCCACGTCACTCTGTCCCCCCTGTCTCCCCCCTCCCTCTCTGCTGACCCTCCTGCTTCTATCTGTCGCTCCAGCAACACTTTGATGCCGGCAGCGGGTCTGCCCAACGCAACGTCCAGCACGTGAGTGGATATGGACGGATGCTTGGCGCTTGTAGCGGGTGTGGCTGTAGCGGGTACAGCTGTGACTGGAAGAGGTAGTGACAACAGGGAAGCAGGAAAAGGAGGGGATTATAAAGGAGGGGAATCAGCAGCAGGGGCCTTGAGGTTGGTTCAAGGTTAGGAGTCCACGTGTTGAGATGAACGGGAGTTTGATGCTTGTAGTGGGAGTGTGTAGCTGGTGTGACTGTAGCTGGTGTGACTGTAGCGAAGCGTAACGCACTACCACACACACACGCACCTGATGGTACGATATGTGCTGCGACTCTAGCCAGGCGGTGGGTTGCAGGGCAGGAGACTTGTTGAGGGAAGATATATCCACCAGGAAAGAAATGCACGGCCGGTAGAGGAACATAAAGAGAGGAAAAGAAGGGAAATTACAAGGTTAATTGCGGTTGATTGGAGTATAAAGAAATTTAATGGAAGGTGCTATGGTTGGAGAGAAATTAGAGCAGGACTGAGGAGAGTAGCAGGTCGGTTTGTGGGAATGTCTAACAGCCAACTTCCCAGCCAGCAGCAGCTTCTCCAGCCTCAGCTGCTTTTCCCGTCAACTTGAAGGACAAAAACACATACACACAGCACGCACAACACACCTTTCCATCCGCACATACACGCGCACACACCTGCAGCGCCAACGACTTTTGAGGCGCCTCAAAAGTCAAAACACATGCACACAGCACGCACAACACATCCATCCGCACATACATACACGCGCACACACCTGCAGCGCCAACGACTTTTGAGGCGCCTCAAAAGTCAAAACACATGCACACAGCACGCACAACACATCCATCCGCACATACACGCGCACACACCTGCAGCGCCAAGGCCATCCGTAGGAGCATCCAGCAGCAGCTTCTCCAGCCTCAGCTGGGTGATCTTCTCTTGCTCCTTCGCTGCTAGCTGCACCTCATAGATTGGTTGATTTGCCAGGCGCTCCTGCAATAGACGGGCAGTCACATGGGATAAATGAGCATCTGCAAGCATCTTGCTTCGCCAGCCTCAGCTGGGTGATCTTCTCTTGCCCCTTCGCTGCGAGTTGCACCTCGTAAATTGGTTGATTCCCCAAGCGCTCCTATAACAATGGGGAATAATTGGACCCTTGACATGGTTATACGTCTACACAAAACGAAGGCTGTGCACTGCTCCTTCGTTTTCCACAGGCATAATTCGCCGTATTATACGTCTACACAGAACGAAGGCTGTCCCCTTGAAATATAGAGATTCGTGCCTGTGGAAAACGAAGGAGCAGTCCCTTGAACTACATATACATATATATATATATATAATTAAAAAAAAAAAGGTGCGGGCTTGACCTCCAGGCTACGTGTTGCTCATAATGCGGAATCCACTCTTAGCCTTGAGGTCAAACCCCCACCAAGCACCTCTAGGCCATTTCCTGGTTGCAAAAGCGCTACTTTCCTTCCAATCAACTTGAGTTTGTGCAGGTCTGATTCAGAAGGAAAAAGAAAGGGATTTCAATCAGGCATTTCCATATTAAAAACACGCCATGTGTCAATCACCATGACAGAGTAACTCCAGCGCAGGCTTGCCCTGGGCGTAAATGACATAATTCCATGTTTGACAAATACCTTAAGCGCGGAGATTATTTCCGAAGCAAGCTTGCCCTGGACGCAGATGATGAAGATGTGTCCAAAACGCTGCTCGTAGCGGCGATTGCACTCCGCCATCTCCTGTAATGGGGCAGCAGGAAGGTAGGAAGGCAGGCAAGCAGGCAGGAAGGCAGGCAGGCATGGCGGAGACAGACAAGCAGGAAGGCCTATAATTTCGTTCTGTGCGGAGAGTAGTTCTTTCCCTGCTTCACCCTGGGCGCAGATGATAAAGATGTGGCCAAAGCTCTGCTTGTAGCGGCGATTGCACTCCGCCATCTCCTGAATGGTTGTTGGGCATGCAGGCACAAAAAAAGGCAGGCAGGCAGGCGGGTGCTCGGGCGGGCGGGTAGACAGGGAGGCAGGCAAGTAGAAAGGCGTTTAATTTTGTTTCGTTACACGGGTCATTGGTCATGAAGAAGAGCAGCAGCGGTCACTGGTCACTGGTCATGAAGAAGAGCAGCAGCGGTCACTGGTCACTGGTCACTGGTCACGGGTGACTTAGAACTCTTTAGGCAGTCAAGTAGAAAGGCGTTTGATTTGGTTTCGTTTTGTTTCGCGCTCTGGTCTGGAATGAGTTGTGCTTTCCTGGAAGGATGCGTTGTCAGATGCCTTAACTTAATGGGAGTCATGTTGGAAGCACACTCAGTGTAACTTACGATTACAAGGAGCACACTTAACACGTTTTCTGTGCTAGATAAAATCCTATAGTGAGATGTGCTTGCCTGGAAAAAAGAGTCATTGGATGATTGCAGCGCTGCTACTTGCTTTGATGCGCCTCAAAATCATTCTGAGGCGCCTCAAAAACCGTACTTGCTTTTGACTACCATGTCCTTGCCTGGAAAAATGAGTCGTCAAATGATTGCCGGGCTACTGCTTGCTTCGAGCATCCTCAAAATGTTCTGAGGCGCATCAGAAAGCGGACTTGCTTTTGAGTACCATCAAACTTGCCTGGAAGAATGAGTCATCGGATGATTGCAGGGCCGCTGCTTGCTCCCCTTGGGACCATCTGGGTGCAGAATAGAGACACGTGCATTGACTCAGGTTAACCATGTAATCCACGTTAAGAATACATGTAACCATGTAATCCACGTTAAGAATACATGTAAGAAACGAATACATATGTGCAAGAGCACATGTGCGTGCATGAGCGCATGTATTGAACGAATGCTGAGAATGCATGTGCATGCTTGTGAACACAACACAGCAACAAATTCTTCCAAACGTGAATGAACACGTCACTCACTGTTGTGTGGAGAACTTTCGCTTTAGCGATGCCACGTCACCAATCCTGGGATGCGCACCGAAGGCCTCCAGCCAACCAGAGATGTCCACCTGGCACAGGATACAATCCATCAGGCCACCACACACAGCTATGTCTTCACCTATGAACGACTACTATGTGTTTAGGCAGTAAACGATAAGCAAATCGCGTTTAGGTGCCACGACATCGCACTATGCGAAATAAAAATAGCAACCACAACATAAGCTCTTTCAACCCTCGTTACAAACGACCAAAACGCAGCAAGGACCCTCGTTACCCCCGTATAAGAACACTAATCCTACAACACCCGGCGTCTGAGAGCGCGTGCAATACAGGGTGTGAATGAAAACCGCCTGGGCTTGCCTGATTCCACCACATGTCGCTAGCAGCCCTTTGTAGATCCTGTTTTTGAGGCGCCTCAAAAGCAGACTCGAAACAAGAAGGCGGGGTCTTTCTTGCCTGATTCCACCACACGTCGCTCGCAGCCCTTTGTAGATCTTCGAGGCTTCCAAACGAGCGGCGCGCTGCGAGGCTAGACGCAAATCTCTTGGAACCGCAGCAGCGAATCAACGCCTCGATCGCCTCGGCTTCGGGAAGCGCGTTGAGCCATCGCAACCCCGACTCGAGCCGCGTTTCTCTCCCTTGCTCATACCGCTCCGATTCATCCATTGCGGTTGTGCGGAGTGGTCGCTGCTGCGTGTTATATCTTTCCCTTACCCGCTAAATCCTGACTTTTGAGGCGCCTAAAAAACCACTTGCCATATATTTCACTTACCCGCTAAATTCTGATACCTTAGTGCCCGAAAGGTTGAAAGGCAAGGATGGGAGAGATGAGGTGATGGGAGGATGGGAGAGCGGGATGAGGAGAGAGGTCAAGGGACCCGTCGATTTCATATTAGGGTTGGCTTCGTCACGACGAGAGGAGACGGCGGTCGCACTTGCGTGGCGCAATCCTAGCGACTAGTGCAGCTGACTGATTCCTAGCAAGCTTCGCGGCCTCATAAAATACCGAATTTGTTTCCCGATAAAATACCTGTCGAATGAACCGTACAAAACCCACTTAGAAGCAGATGTCACCGCAATCGAAATACCCGCAACACAACCCAAACAAATTCGTACGTCTTTGAAACACACTTTGTTCCAACTCAGAATGATTTTGGGAGTGTGCTGCTGATAATTAAATTTGACTGCACACAAAAACAATACATTTTGTTAACCTGCTCTGGCACTCCAGTTCATTCCAGAGTCCAGATTCCCTATCGTTCTAAATTCACATCAAGTGCTATAATAACCTAGAGCGTTCATATACATAATTTCTATCCTTGCCCACTTCACATAATGAACCCACCCTGGAAATTACGCTCTCAACATAACTACCACCCTGTCTCCCGCTTCGAGAGACTGCACAAATGGAGATTCAGCGTTCCGCGTTTTAGAATGCTGTTGCCAACGTCTAACAGCGTGAAGGTTGCGGAAGATTTCCTCTCTGGAAGCGGATAGCGATCCATTAGGCATCATTTTTGCGAGCTCAGCGAATGTCCACGAGTTGTTGTAGGTGTTTTGGTCTTGGGGATAACTGCTCCATCTGACAATCCGAGAACAAGGATAAAGAGGGGGCGGGGGGGGGTTGGGGTGGGTGGGGAATGTCAAGATAGTGTTGGGCTGAGATAAGCCCTTAGGATCTTTGCAGGGGTGAACTCTGGGTAGGACTGATGTAATAGTGGAAGCGTTTAATGAAGAGTTGTGAACCACCTTGCGCTGGTATGTGAGGGCAAAGTAAGTTGATTAAGGCAAAGAGATACAGGATTATATAAGAGTACAAGGAATATGAAGAGATACAGTTGTAACTACTTTACTGTTGCTGTTGCGGTTCGATACAGTGACGACTCGGGCAACTGCTCTGTAACGAGTCAGTTGTGTGTCCTTGCTGTCGCGTTGTACTTGTCAGGTCAAAGGTCGCTGACCTTTGACTTTCGCGTAACCTCCAGCAGTTACTTCAACCTCCGAGGGTTGACTCGCTGGTGCCTCGATATGCTTCGCTTCGCTTGTGCCTTGGTGTTTCGACACGACAGAGGCGCTTAAGGTTGATTGTTTCCAACACTCCCCTTCGCTTCTGGAGTGTCGCTGTTGGTGACATGGCTCTGTCCAGTCAGCAGCATGCAGTACTCGAACTTCTGTTTTCCGAGCTTCTTGGTCAAGTAGTCAGCTGCCATCTCAGACGTGGGGCAATATGACAGCTCGAGCCTCCCTTTCTCGATCTCGTCCTTCACGAAGAAATATCGCAGGGCGATGTCTTTCGTCCTGTTCGCGAAGCCGTTCTTGTTGGCGATGCGAATTGCCGACTGGTTGTCGCAGAACATGGTGAAGCTGGGTAACTGGGCTAGCTTTGCTTCTTCCAGTAGTTCGCGAAGGTAGAGTCCTTCGTTGGTGGCTGAGCAGAGTGCTATATATTCTGCTTCAGCTGAGGAGAGCGTGATTAACTCCTGTTTGCTCGACTGCCAGGAGATAGGTCCGATGGGTTCGAACCGATAGATGTAGCCGGTGCGCGAGCGTCTGTTGTCAGAGTCGCATGCGTGATCGGCGTCGACGTAGCCGATTAGCTTAGGTGTTGTAGTTGCGTTCTTGTGGTAAGTCGGACCGATCGTCGGGGTGCTGATGAGGTAGTGAAGAGCGCGGTCGAGCTCCGCCAGGTGTTCCGTTTCAGGCTTCTTGAGATAGGTGGCGAGCTGGCTTGCGGAGTATGATAGGTCCGGGCGGCAGTTTACAGCTGCGAAAAGGAGGCATCCCAGTTTCCTCTGGTAGTCGCGTATGCCGGCGGGCTTGAGTAGAGTAGATCCTCCCTTGATGTTTCCTGTCGTGCAGCAGTACGGCGTGGAGATGGCGGTCGGTGTGAGTGCGAAGCGCTTGGCGATGGTGTCGGCGTATTTCGCGGCGCTGAGATAGATTGCGTCTTCTTCTTCTCGGATGTTGAGACCGAGGTACTGTGTGACGGTAGATGAGACCGTGAGCGTGAGGTCCTTCTGCAGCTCCCCTTCGAACCAGGTTGTGATGCCGTCGGTCGAGCCGATGTAGAGTAGGTCGTCTACATAGACGATTAACAGGATGTAGTCGGTGCCCTTCATGAGCCGGTACATGCCCTGATCGTGCGGTAGTTGTTTGAAGCCGATGCAAATGAGGCGAGCGTGCAGGTATTGTTGCCATAGTCGCGGAGCTTGCTTGATGCCGTAGAGCGATTTCAGCAGCTGACAGACTTGATTGGGCTCATCGTTTGAGCCGTGCGGTAATTCGACGAAAATTTCTGCGTCAACAGGTGCGTAGAGGAATGCGTTCGCAACGTCGATTTGCCGCAGCTTCTTCTTCTTCATGGCGGCGATCGCGAGGAGGATTCGGAGTGAAGTGTGTCGACTGACCGGAGCGAATGTTTCGGTGAAGTCGCGTCCGTGTTCTTGGTCGAAGCCGCGTACGACCCAGCGAGCTTTAAACTTGTCGATGGTGCCGTCAGCCTTTGTCTTCACACGGAAGACCCACTTCCCGGTATGTACTGTTTTGTTCCGTGCTACGCTGATAGGGACGATCTTCCAGGTGTTGCGTTCCTCCAATGCCTTTAGTTCCCTGTCCATGGCTTCGCGCCATTTTTCCTTATGTTCCCCCCCCAGAGCCTGTTGAACTGTCGCAGGCTCTTTAGGAATGGCTGCGCCGTGAACTGCGCTGACGAGGCCAAGGATTTGGAGTCCACTCTGTGTGTAGCGGGGGAGTGAAGTGTCCGCGGGATAAACAGCTTCGTCTCCCGCTTCTGGATCAGGTGCGAAATTGGGTCCTACGCGTTCTGCTTCGTCGGTGTTGACTTGTGCAGGTGTAACGTAACCGTTGTCAGCGAAGTGATAATAGGTTTCGGCGTTGATGCTTTCGCGTGGGTTTTCGTCGTCCATTGGCACGTCGACGGAGCAGTAGGGGAGGGGTCCGGCTTCTTCCGAGGCTCCTTCCAGGTTCTGCTCGTCCCAGTCAGCTTCGTCATCTGCCGAGGCGAAGGCTCGGGTGCCTTGGAAACCATCGGAGCGATCGGGGTTTCCTTCTTGCAAGTTGGCAAGGTAATACCGGAGGGTGAGGTTTTCGTAGAAGATGACATCACGTGCTGCTACTGTTTCCTTTGTCTCGACGTCGAAAATCTTCCATGCGTTGTAGTGTTTTTTGATGCCCAGGTGTAGTCCCCACTGTGCGCGTTGTGAGAATCGGCCAGCTCGTGCAGATGGAGGCCGGTACTGTACCATGCAGCCGAAGACCCTTAACATTTTTGTGCTGCCCAGTTTTGTCAGAATATGTTGTTTGTGTAGCCTGCAGTGGGGTACTCAATAGTGAGTACAGCCCCTTAGGGTTTGCTATTTGTATCCTGCTGCTTGCTAGTTCAATCATTCCTTCTCAATTCTGTTCCTGCACACAATCCTAGCTCGTACTTGGCTCCTCGTTACTAGTCCTACTGTGGCCTAGGCTACTAAGCCTAGGCCGTACTACTACTACTTCTGACAAGTTTTCCTGTCCACAGCAGATGCGGTGATGCGTTGTTCGGGAGCGATGATGACGAGAGCAGGTTGTGCAGCATGACGGCGTGGTCCATTGCTTCGGGCCACTGGTGGTTGGGCAGGTGCATGCCACGTAGCAGCTTGCGCATGGTGTTCGGGAGGGTCCTGTTAATTCTTTCTGCTACACCCTGCTGTTGATGGGCGTAGGGAAGGGAGATGAGCCGCTTGATTCCCCTTTCAGCCAAGTACTGCTTGAACCTCTGTGAGGTGTATTCTCCTCCCCCGTCTGACTAGAAGCTCTTTAGTTTGACGCCCGATTCTTGTTCTGCTACTGGGAGCCACGCGACGAAGGCTTCGAAGGCCATGTTTTTGCTCGGAAGGTTTAGGTGCCAGACATATCGTGTGGCGGCGTCGATGAAGGTGATGGTGTAGTTGTACGCGTTTTGTCCAGGCTCGCGGTTGTACAAGATGTCGCTGTACACCTTCTCGAGTGGCGCGTAAGCTGGTGCGCTTGGGTTGTGGTGAGACGCGAACGGTTGATGCGGTAAGTCAGCTTCGGGACAGGTGAAGCATGTTCCACGGGCTCGCTGAAGTTCTCTGCCGTCAGTTAGGAGTAGAGAGTCTTTATCGAGCACGCCTGCTCTTATCGTGTTGTTTAACACTGTGTTGCTTGGGTGTCCCATTCTTGCGTGTCAGGTTCCTTCGGTTGCACGATGTCCGGGTGAGCGCCGATACATATCGGAGTTGGAATAGAAGCTGGCGATGAAGTTGGCGCTTCGGTGAACTTCTCGTGGTGCTGGGTGCAGTTGTTGCGCGGGTGTCGGTGGTGTGTCGTCGACGAAGATTGGTGCCGTTGAAGGACCAGCGATTGGTGTTGATGTTGCCGCTGTTGTCTCTGCTGCTACCGACGTTGTCTCTGCTGCTGCCGTCATTGTCTCTGCTGCTGCCGACGTTGTCTCTGCTGCTGCCGTTGTTGTATCTGCTGCTGCCGTTGTTGTCTCTGCTGCTGCCGTTGTTGTCTCTGCTGCTGCCGATGTTGTTTCTGCTGCTGCCGAGTGTTGAATTGTTGCTAACGCCCTTGTTCGTTCTGCCTCAGGGATGGTGTGTGAATGCCAGAAGCCGCCGGGGCTGAAGTCTGGATCAAGATCTGGAGGATGGGTCTAGGAAGTGAAGGCGACGATGCCGTCGCTGTCTGCTGTGCCGAGATCTGGAACAAAATAAAAAACGAAGACGTTATTTTTCAGGATCGCTTTTCCGATGTAGAGGCCGCCCTTCCCGTGGTACAGCTTGAACTCCTGAGTGGTGCTGTCTGCTTCAAGGTGGATACCTTTAGCCATCAGTTGGCTAACGCTGAGTAAGTTGTAGCCGAGGCCTTCT